CAGAGAAGGTGGCAGGGATGGTATACGACGTACTGGAAGCCCGGGCAAGCTGGGGGAAGAGTTGAATTGGGTGCCTCTGAGATGGGGCAGCACCTGGTCCACAAGCAGCTGCCTGGCCAGCCTCAGAGGGCACTGCTGCCATAGAAGGAAGGACTGAGGCCCCCTGCAGCTCATGGGCTGCTCAGCCCACCAGCAGCTCACCCCCCCCAGCCACAGGAGAGGTAGGCAGGTTCCACCAAAAAATAAAAAAGGATTGGTGCTGCCTTCAGCAGGCACTTGCAGCCACCAGGTCAATGGCGTGTATAGTGACAGAAATATAAAACCCACCATTTCAATGAAAAACTCACCCTTTCAATTTAGGGGGCATAGAATGCAACTCTGAAGGACTAAACCTCCCTCACGCATACAAGCTCCCTCTGGGTTTAACTTGTGAATCATGGGCAAGTGCAAACCTAACAGTGCTAACATTGCATGGCACCCCCAAAAAACCCTTTAAAGGAGCTCACAGCACCCTGGCTGAGAATCACTGTTTTAGTCTAACAGTCCAGGAAACAAGAGACACAGCTTCTAAACCCCACACTGGGGTGGAGGCAGGTTTACACATGTAACTCTCATTTGACTGCAAATCAGGGGAAAAGTTAAATACTAGGAAGAAAGTTTTAACAGGAAGCATTGGATCAAGTTACTCAGAAAAGCTATGGAACCTCTGTTTTTGGTTGTTTTTAAAGAGCAAGTTAGTGCACATTTCTAAAGCACTCCAGACATGGATGATCCTGCCTTACACAAGGGGTTAGGCTAGTTAACCTGAAGTCCTTTACAATCCTACTTTTCTATGTTTCTACGATATGGTAGGTTCTACAGATTACAGATAATGATTTTACTCATACCCAGCCATAAACAAAAATACTCACCAATATGCCCAGAGCTTGTCCATATAAGCATATGTTCTTATAATAGCTTTTCCTTTTCTCTCTCCCATTGTGAGATTCATGTGCATACTGCATAATCTTCAATTAAGCCATACACTTTTACAGTGTTTCTTTGCATGTTTGATGAGATCCCAATCCTATCCAAATCAAATTAATAATTACTGTGGAATACTAGTTAGCTTTTAAGGATAATGGCTTAATCTGTTAAAGGTAAGAAATACCTTCAAGCGATTATTTTTTGTTCCTAAAGCATTTAGAGACCAATTCTGGTACCCAAATGGCTAGGCCTAACACCTGTTGTTATTAGGACCAACAAAAGCATTTTTACGTTGTTGTTTTTCACAGAGATACCAAGGTCCAAGTCCTCAAAGATAACTACACACCTAAATTTACCACTTAAGTACTATCATCACTCTCAGGCCAAATATTCAACTGTCAACTAGGAAGTTTTGTGTAAGGCCAGTAGTGGAAACCTAAGTGCTAAGGTGGTCTCACAGATGACAAGCAGCCCAAAGCCCAAAAGGACTTTCAAAATAACCGGTTTCTGTCACATCGCATCAGCATGCACTAAGCATGTGTATGCCACTGTGGTGCATGTGCTCCTTCCACATCAAGGTAGCACTGTAATCAGAAAATTCAACAAGGAAGAATTGCTCTACTTTGTATTAACTAACTAAATATTTCTTGAGTGAGAGCGTGGATAACCCTGTAACTCCGGTGGTAATACGGAACACCCAGGTTCTATTAGTCCTTGCTCTGCAATACGCCAAATACGGATTTAAAAACAGGTTTTGCATCAACAGCCGTCTGGTTGTTTGGGTTTTTTTCCCCCCACAAATATGTCTTCAGCACCTAGCTCCAAGAAACGATTCACTGAAGACCCTAAGGAGAAGAAAAGCAATAATGGCTGATTAGGTCAGAAGTTTAAGTATCTACAACCTGCCCTTTTCCTTTGCATTTCACTCCTAACTAACTTACCTGGTTCCTTGCACTAATTTCATTCAGATTTCAGGAACCAAAATTGGAGTCGAGAAGGAAAGGCTTTGAGTACTGAAATGTCCAACTCTAAGTACCCAGAGAGACTGAGTCTCTAGTGCCCTGGGCATGAAAATGTAGGCTTCTATATATAATAGCCTGGATTGGTAAAATTTTGAAGATAGTCTTGCTATCTCCAGAATGCCTGGAGGTTAGCCTAGATATACTGTAGTTACTCAACTCTAAGATGACCCTGCATTTAAGACAATGACCCAACAATTAAATTCTTTACAGAAAATTTATAAAGAATATTTAAATCATTTTTGCTTAGCCTATATTCCCTCCCAGTCCCTGCCAGGCCATGTAGCAGTGTTGGTGCTGCTGACTGGCTGGGCAGGGGGTAGAGTTTCCATGAGCTGTGTGCCCAGGAGAGAATCCAGTCCAAGCTGTAGTCAAGCTGTGCATGACAGTAAAGGGGAGCCAGAGGGGCAGAGAGTGGGAGGAGGGACAGAAGATACAGGGGGAGGAGGCGGCAGAGGGCTGCTATAGGTCTGACTCTGGCTGTAACCCAGGTTCAGGGCCAAACTCAGAGCCTTAGCAGCCCCCTACCCTGCCTCTGCTTTGTACATAAATCTAAGACGAGGGGCTTTTTTCCCCTGTGCTGACTCGGGGGCGGGGGAACCTCATTTTAGATTCAAGTAAATACAGTACTATCAAGCCAGCTAGACCTCAAGATCATGTGTTACCTAGAAACAAGGTAAACACAAAATTGTTATTAGTTAAGGGACAGGTGCATTTTGAATTTTTAAGAGTATGGGGAAATCAAAATAGTGGGGTAAGGCTCCAGTAAAAGGGTTTACAAGATATTCTCCTATATATAAAAACCAAGTTTAAAAAAAAAAAAAGGAAAAATTACTTTATTCATCTTTTCTCCAGGCTTTGAAGACTGGCAACAGGTCCAGACAGATTGCATATATACATATATATTATTTTACATAATGTACGCATGATGAATTGACCTAGACTTCCCCTTTCTATTTTAGAAGCATAGAAAAAATAAATAATTGTAATGTTCATAATGAATTAGCTATACAATTATATAATATTCTTCACATCTTACAGCTTTACATCAAGGACACGGTTACTTTGACACAGCAACATGTAACACGAGAGAGAGAAAAAAACCTCTGAGATTGCTGGACATGGAAACGAGAGTAATTAAAATAAGTGCCAAGATATTTTTTCTAATTTTTTTTTTTTTGTAAAAGTTAGGTGATTATCTAACAGTGTTGACGGTTCCCCCCCAGGCATAAAGATTTGATTTCCCTACTTACATTTTTGTTTGTAAGCTTTGGGGGACGCTGCCTGTGGGATTGGGGCTGAAATCTAAGACCCTCCAGAATCTTTTAAGTGTCAATATTCCTCTCCCATGAAAAACCTTTTTCCTTATTGTGACGTCACCTCCCTCCATATACATACTTATATTCTTAGTATTTCTCCAAGGCCCACGATTTATTCTCACTGATGACTAAACATATGGTACACATCTATACCATGATCGCAGTGGCCAACCCAGATGTTCCTGAGCATACCTACTCACCCACTCCCATTTGCACACTCCAAACCCAGAAATGTAATAGGAAAACCACTCCAGGGTCAGACCCCCACCACCCCAGGTGCTCTTGAGACTGTAGCCTCCAGGGCGCTTGATGGCTGCCATTACGGTAACTCTGTTTTGGCTTCACTGTTGTATTTCTGGGTCTGGAGTGACACTAGAAGTAGGATAGACAGGACATGTTCAGGTGTGTCCCAGCTGAGCCACACTGCTGCTGTGCTACAAACACACCCATATCCTCTAGAGCAGAGGTGCTTAACCTTTTTTGCCTGGTGAACCACATAAGTGATATCTGATCCGTCCATGGGCCAGATCTATCCAGTGGTCCCAGTCTGGATCCCAGGGTAGGCAAAGCCCCATCCAGCTGCATAGAGGGGGCCAGCCCAGCCCTGATCAAGCTGCATAGAATAAAGGTGCTTGGCCGGCCCCATTCTGGCCCCTTGTGGGGATGGGAGGGGGCATGACTGCCTCAGTTGAGCTGTGCAGGGACAGGCAGCATGGCCTAACTCCAAAGTGGTAGGGTAACCATACTTTCCAGCCAATTGAAGACATCCCAGAATTGCAGGGTCATGGGGGCAGAAGCATAGTATGCAAGGTAGGCAGGCACCCCTGCTGCTGTGGAGCAAACCAGGTGAACTAGAGCAGTGTCCAGCACTGTCCCCTCATCCCCCTGCCTCCAGTCACTGGTCAGGAGCCACGCCTGGCATGTGTGGGTGCAGTGGTGCCTGTTCCAGTCTGCCCACCGTGTTCCTGCCCAGCAGCAGCAGTGTCTGCCTCCATGTCTGCCTGGAGCACCATGCCACTCTGCCTCTCCACTGAACTGAGCCTTTTGCCCATGCTCATCTGCCTCTGGAGCACCCACACCTGGGGAGGAAGAGGCAGAGGCTTTTAAAATAATACAGTCACCCTACAGAGAGTGGGTGTGGCCCAGCCCTAGCCCCTGTGGGGGGGAAGGGGGAAGGGGCATTGTCTAGCCCTGATCTGGCCATGTACCAGGTGTGGG